GATTAATGATCTATGAATAATACTTATACCATTATTTTATCGTTAACTCTACAGCAGTGATAACCGACGAGCTAACGTTTATATACGAAAAGCACTAGGGAAAGTTCTGTCAACTCGTGAGAAAAGGTTATACACTCAGGTAATATAAAACAAAATTTATATACAAGACTAAATTTATATACACATTTTATGCCACAAAATGAAACTCATTGTTCTTCAAACAGTTCATGGAAACACTCCGCATTCTCACCTTACTAAATAAGCGCATTCAATTCGTCAAGATAGGATTAAAGCTAAACATTTAATTGCTAACTTTTTCATAGTTAATTATTAACAGTTGATACGACTAAACAATTTCGCTGCTAACTTTGCAAACTTCATCTTCAAAATCGCGGCATCAAACTAAAACAGCAGAACAAGCTTTAATTCTCGCAACCTAATCTCGTCATGTACCTGGTTAGGAAGTAATATACAGACTTCACCTCGATCCAGCTTCAGACACAAATAGGTTAAAGATACGAAAAAATGCAATCTTCAGGACGTTGGTCGAGCTGCATCTCCATAATATGTGCTATTCATGGCACAAGACGGCGGTTAATTCGATCCAGCATGAAGTCAGTCATTTCCCGGACAGCAACATATGCAGCTAGTGATCACTGTAGCTGTCAGGAAGAGTAGACGGTGTTCAAAGAGTACAACTACTAGGCCAGCTAAACGGGAAATAGTCTGGTTACCCACAACGCCTAGGTTCAGCCACTGTCACAGATACAAAAGAAATTGATAATGCCAGACTATAGCTGAATGAAGAACATACGTGGGAGTGGATGGGTTGTCATGATCGTAAGCAACTTCGCAAACCTACAAGTTGCTTAAGATTCGTATCCACTAATCTCAACGCTTTACATCTTAATATTAATAGCCGTTTATTGGGACGAAGAAAAGATTCCTCATGGACACCATGACTCAGTGACATGGTTGGTCACCGATTATTCGAGGACCATGTTTTGGCTCTCAGCAGCGCAGTTGTCGAGGCAAAGAAGCTTGGTGGCTTGCTTGCAGCTGGTCGACCTATGTCAACCTTCGGTCAATGAACATCTAGGAAATTGGCTTGAGATTCCTTGTCATTCCTCACACGATGGTATCAATGGACCTTAAGCATTCCTTACCAGTGTTGTTGGAGGCTATCCAGACAATGCTCATTCGCATCAGTAAGTGCAACTGTTTCCAATGCGTGGAGCAAAACTGAAGTGACAGTAGCGCATTAGTTGGATCCTGGTGAAGACTGTACCTTGGTCGATCGAATTTCGCTTAAGTTAATCAACTTGGAGGAATGGAGATAAAGTAGTAACCAATCTTACGCAACCTTGGCATTTGTAGTCTGTATATTTAAAATAATAAATTAGCGAAAATTTTAATTAAAATGGTGCATTTATTTGACAACCCTACACTATGAACGAGTATGTAAAAGTGTGCCCGAGTAATTCAGAGTCTCTCCCACCTACGTCTACAACCATGGTCAGTCAGTGCGTTTGCACTGTGTCCATGTAGAGCGTGGAGTTTGTCTTGTCATAACATTGCACTAACATAAATATAGAACGGCTGCCAATTTAACCCACTTTGTCCTTCAAAAACCAAGCAATGTCTTCGTTTTCAACCAAGAAAAGAAAAACGCTGACTTCAGAAATCAAAATGGAAATTATCAAGCATCTTAAATGAGGATTCATTCATTACGACGTGACTAGAAAAATTAACCGTGAGGCCCATAATCAAGGAGAAAAAGCGGATTCTCATAAAGTTGAAAAATGACCGATTACTAAATTCAACAGTTATTCGAAAACGTCATGGACTTGCTTAAGAAATGGAGACTTCACTAAAAATTTGGTATTATAACCAAGGTAGAGTGATAAACTGATCTGTAGAATAAAATACCATATTCAATGAAGCCAAACTGAATATTCAAAGGCTAAAGGAGAAATCTGGAAATACCGAGAAGGATGAAACTTTTATAGTCAGAAATGACGTGTTCAACAGATATAAACAGTATATGATTGGCACAACATTGCAAAGAATAGGAAAGCCGCGAGTGCTGCTAAAGAAGCTGCTCTTTCTTTCCCTGAAAAACTGAAGAAGGTGATAGAGGATAGAGAGTATTGCGCCAACACTATTCTTAGTGTTAATAAAACGAAACTATCTAGAAAAAGATGTCTACAAAAATGTTAATAATATAATTAATGATACTGAATTTTAACCGCGAAGGTACGGTATGAAGAAAGAAAAATTGATTTCTTACTTTACACCGATACTGCGGTA